TGGACTTTATAATGAAGTTACCAATATTGGTATTTGTCCATTCCTTCAGAACCCGCTTTATAGAGGGTCAAGAGTTTGAATAATCATATTTGAATATTGGCTGAGGGTATACGTCTGTCGGTAGAACCGACTGATACTTTTTAACTTGTTATACCCTACAGCACAAGGTGGTCAGGGTATTATGTCTTTGTGCATTTGTTTGTAACAGGCAAAAGGAAGCGAGATAGACCGCGAGATAGGATCTCCATAGAATCAATTTTTGAGTTGATTTATGCATGCCAGTCCGTCTGTCCATGTATTCTTGTGGACAAAATGCAGGTGGCATTTATTATCCGATTGAGATGAAATTTTCCAAACAACATTTGTTTGGCCCAAGGATGAACCCTATTGAAATTGGAGATAATCGGTAAAAATTTAGATATAGCTCCCATATATGTCTTCGTCCGATTTGCCTTTTATTGTGCACCAAACGTGTAATATCAGCCCGAATAGTATGGAATTTTGCACGTACAACCATACAAGCCTGAAAATAAATATGCCAAATTTGATCGAAATCGGTTCAGATATAGCTATAGCTCCCATATATATTGTTCATCCGATTTGTTATATTTGTTACCCACAGCCGTAATATGCACTCCGTAACAACGCTATTCAGGGAAATATATCAAATACAGCTCAGAAATATCTTTGCCAAATTTTATCGAGATCGGTTCCGATTTGGATATAGCTCCCATATATATCTTTATCCGATTTCAAATTAATTGTGCACCAAATGGGCAATACAAGTTCGAATTTAAAAGATACAAATGCTTCGGCGTATTTAGTCCTTTGAACTTTAAACTATAATTATAATCATAGCGTGTATGATTGAATTCTCCCATAAAAACTTTTAATTGTCATGCGGAGCTCTACTAAATTAGCAAAGTGGTGTAGGGTATCATAAAATCAGCCCCGCCCGAATTTAAGACTTTTTTTACTGGTTTTTAATTTATTAATTTTTTTTCTTTATTTTATGGACTCTGGAAATAAATTTTGCACAGTCTGGAGAAAATTTTATTTGCAAAAAATATTTCTTGAATTATATACAAAAAATCCGGATACTCGAATATGTCTGCTGAGACAGCTCAAGGTGAAAAAGAAGTTTTTTTTTCCAACCAAAAGGGGCCATTACAACACCAATGAAGCCTGAAAATAAGTTTGCATCCGAAAAGATTACACAAAGTGTAAAAATTGGTCATGGGAATTTTCCTTACTTGTTGTTATTGTTTACGTTGTTGTTGTTGTTGTAATGGAATAATTGCAAACCGCATTCCTTGTTCTCATTACTCGGCATTTATATTTAACTTTTAACAGACATTCTCATATGCATGCAAATAAACATACACACATACATACGAATGTGTGTATGTATGTAAATAATGTTTAAATATTAACACATACACACTCGAACAATAATCACGGTCCACATTTTATATTATCAGTGACCACCGAGGTTTTGTTGTTTTGATTTTTATAAAGTCCAGCACCCAGACACTTCATCGCATCGCAGGTTCCTGTCGTCGCCGCCACCGCCACCTCCATCGTCGTCGTCTCTTATTTCAATAGCTATGATGGCTGCTGTTATTCCCACCATCTCCATCCCCATCATCATCGCATTACAATTAGCCCGAGCCTGTTTCGGGCGTTTGTGTGTAAATATTTTTATGTGAAATAGCATTTCATTATCAATGAATTATTAACATATTTTTATGAATAAACACTGGTTTTAAAATAATTCATTTAAAATAGAATTCTTATCTCGGCGATGTTGTTGTTATTGTTGTTGTCGCCGTCGTCGATGATTTTGTTCCTTTATTTCTCGGAAATAGTTCACCCTCTCGGTGATACTATTGTGTACATAGCAGAACGCGTGCTTCAATTTTTTCACTTTTTGTTTTTGTTCAAATCCGTTTGACATATTACTACATAAATATAAATACATGAACATAAATATATTTTTAAATAGTTCCTATATACAATTAAAATTAGATGAAAAAAAAAAAACATAGCAATTAAAAAATTGAAATGATTTTGTTTTTAATTTAGTTGATGGCCGTTCATACGTGTTGTTGCGTATCACAAGTACCACATGTCATGGAGAGGGTTTCGAAAGTTTATTGTGGGTCAAACGCGTGTTCGATATCAGTCCACCTTAAATTGTGTTAGACTTTTGTGGCAACAAACTTCTTGTGTTTTATCTGATAAATATTATTTTTGTAGACTTATCACACATTTTGGTGGAAAGTCAGAATTCATCCACAATATTTTTTTGAAAAGGAAATTGAATAAAGACACTATTTCAAATAAAAGTAAGGAACATTAACTTATCTTTGTATAATCCGACCCTTCTTCATTTGGTCTCTTCACAAATCTCTGTATCATTATACTTAAGTCGCTTATGTTTGAAGCCTTTACAACAACTTTTATTCGCTTATGATTTGAACCAGAATAATGGGAAATAAGAAGGACATGTGGATTTATCCTGTCCGTCAATTATGATCAAATGCTTACAAACCTTCAAAAATCTAAATAGAGGAATAATTTGGGATCTCAGTGCGATAAAACATACATACAGACACGCTCAATAAAATTTCATATACCTCATACACGGTGAGATGAAAAAACTGCAACCAACTTCAGAATGCAGTCATTTCTAAGCCACTCGTCCGACAGCTGTTGAAATTATTCCAGTGACAGCTCATTATATTGTTTACAAGAGTATTTCCAGCATTTAAATGTGAATAAATCTTTTGTGTCTCGTACCATCGCTCGTTACCCTGATACTGGTAGCGTAGCCCGACGTCAAGGAAGTGTACGGATGAAAACAGCAACATCAGCAGAAATGGTTCGAAAAGTAAAGAAGCGACTTGATCGAAACCCGCGTCGCAGTGACCGAAAAATGGCTCGTGAGCTGAACATATCGCAATATTCTATTCAGCAAATATTGAAAAATGAGCTCGGGGTAAAGCCATTGAAATTCAAAAACGTGCAAGAACTTACACCGCAACAGAAAGAAAATAGAATCAAAAGCACTTGGCCGAAAATGGTGAACTGCCGAATTTGGTTTTCTCCGATGAGAAAACATTCGTTGTCCTGCAGTTTGTTAACAGACAACATGATCGTGCTTACTTGCCAAAGAGGTCAGCTGAAAATTTGCACCTTCGGTTGGCCACCAGAACTCAAGCGCCGGCCATGGTGATGGTGTGGGCCGCCATAACAGCCTATGGTCGCTCTCCGCTCGTATTATTCGACCGTTGCATCAGAATAAATGCCGAATATTATTGCGACAATATTCTGGAGGGTGTATTAAAGCATTGGGCACGCAAACATTTTGGCCGCAGACCTTGGACATTCCAAAAGGACTCAGCACGCCCAAAGGTGACCAAATCAAAACAAATCTTCACTTATTCTAAAATTTGATGCTATTTTCAAATCTTTTTGCTTTCTTTCAATAAAATTAAAACAAGTTAAAAAGCAGTAAGTTCGAACGGGCCGAACTTTGAATACCCTCCACCATTTCGAAAGAATTTGAAAATGTCAAAAAACAAAAATTCTGTTAAAATCTTAAAAATATCGAATATGGCCGGGGGTCTGTACGACGAGAACCTACATTGGCATTGTTTGTCATAAGCCATTACCATATTCAAATTCGAAACTTGAAATAAACGATGAATAATGTAGCTAAAATCATCAAAATACCGTATATAGGGAGGTACGGTTATATCGAAACTATTCGAAGACCTGGACCTGCATAGACAATTTTCTGTCACAGATTGTAGCATCCATTACTTCTTCTTCAAATACGACAATTTCGGTGAGTATTTTACCTAAAATCGTCAAAATACCAAATATAGGGAGGTACTTACATACGGGGCCTATACGAATTCGAAACTACTCCGGTGAATAATGACGCTAAAATCATCAAAATACCAAATAATGGGAGGTACCGTTATATGGGGCCTATATGAACACGTGGACCTGCACAGACAATTTTTTGTCTTAGGCTGTAGTATTAATTTCGAACTTAAAATGCCAAACTTGAAACAATTCCGGTAAATAATGTCGCCAAAATCATCAAAATACTGAATATCCGGATATGCCGCTATATGGGGGCTATATGAAAACGTGGACGTACATGGCCCATTTACGAACTTAGCCTGCTTACTGGCAAAATAAACATGTGTGCAAAATTTTAGATTTCTATCTCAATTCGTTCGAAAGATTGCGTGATTACAACAGATGGAGAGACAGATGGAATATATCGGTCGATTCCTTCTGGTACTTCCCCACAAAGGGTTATAGTATTGAATAACCAAAATAATTATAAAAACAGAAATAAGCATCCGGTTCCCTTCATATTTCACACATCACATTATTTCTGCTAGCACAAAATCTGCTGTGAAGATGGAATATATCGGTCCACTCTTTCTGGTACCTCCCCCACAAATGGGTCAACATTTTTGAATATCCATGAAGCTCATAAAGCAAGAAATTAAAGTCTGATTTCATTCAGACTTGGTACATCACATTATTTCTATCAACACAAGATCAGCTCAAAAGGTGCAAGATCCTTGCAAAATTTAAAAAAAAAAAATAATTCAAGTAAGTTTTAATATTTGTTCTGTTCTAGAACAGCAAGAATGTAAAACTTTTTACTACAATAACGTAATTTTCCTTATGATATCGAAAAAATAGCAAAATTAAGAGATGTTTGGTTCAGAATATTTTTGGAACAGATCAATTTTTATTGACATAGAATATTTTTTGCGTAAACAGGGGATTGACTGAAATTTCTCCACTTCCCATTTAAAATAGGCCGTTATTATTTTCCTCTAGAATTTGCAAACCAAAATAATGCCGCAATGGCATACATTTTTTACTATCCTTATCCTGATTGAGAGTACCAAAAACCATTTCGAATTCCTAAGATTTTCAAAATTTTTAGCAGTAATTATACTTACTTTTATGGTTTTCGTACTGAGCAATCCGGATGAATGTACTTGAGATGCGACGACTTTTGTTCATTATATAGATGCAGAGACTTGAATGCAAATGTTTCTGGCTTTATTTGTTCTGTTTTTATTTTTCGTTACAAACTAAGTTTAAATTTTAATAATTCTTGGAATTATATACGTGGATGTGATGTGTGTGGCTGTAGATTAAGTGTAAGTTTCCAGAACTCAATGTTACGATTTTTTTTCTTTTCAAATCACTTTCGTTTTTTTTAAGGAACTTTAATTTGGTTTTGCAAATTAAACAAATTTTAAGGATAATTGATTTTTTGTTATTTTTGTTTTCGTTTATTTTTAAAGGAATTTCCGTTTCCTTGATTTAAGATATATATATGTATTTTTTTTTTTTAATAAATCACAAAAATTTCCAAAATGGTTATCACAAATAATAAAATCACAATATTTTGTTTCCTTTTGTTGTTGTTTTTTTTTCTTTTGTTTTTGAAATAGTTTCCTTGGGTGGAAGGGATTAAACTCGGGTTGGCTGGAACTTTTTTTCTTGCTTCAGATAAACTTCTTGGTTAAATAGTTATTTGTTTTTTTTTTTAATTCTTGAAGATCAGCTCAATTAACTGTTACAACGGATTTTCGGAGCAATTATTTGGAGCTACTGCCGCTGTTCTTATTATTGTTGTTGTTGTGGTCTGTCTACTGCCGTTCCAACTGTTAGCGATTCTAGTCTACTGTAGCGAATAGCGCTGAGTGCGAGCAATCCACCGATTCGCATCGAGCTCTACATAGCTCTGGACTGGCTAATCGTTTGCGCTGAGCGTTGAAACCTTCGTGTGGCAATAGCTTGGGTGGATCGTGCTCGTGTCTGTTGTTGGTGCTGACAACGCCTCGAGTTGTTGTTGCCGTTGCTGCTGCTCTGTCGTTGATGATTTCGTGGTTGTTTACAATGGTGGCATTCCCATGTTTGCCGCCCTCTTCCTATGCGCTATGGCTGCTGCTTGCTTGTTGGCTAGCTGTCTGATTCGCTGGCTAAACACTCAACTTGTTTTTCAGTGTTTGGGTTGATTGCTAGGTCGTCCGTCTGCCGTTGTCGGATGGGAGATTTATGTTTGATAATGTTTGTGGGTCCGTGGTAGTTTTTTTTTTTTTTTTTTTGCTCTGGCTTTGCATGAATCTATTTTTAGCTCAGTTGTTTGTTTTTGTTGGTTGTTGTGTTTATTTTTATCACCATTTGTTTACGACACTTGTTGCTGCCACCTAACCTCACTCACTGGCTGCTACTACTGGCTGGCTGGTGACCACGACCGATATGTTGTTGCCACGATTGTTGATAGAACCCCACCAAATTGCCAGTTGTTGCTGTGCAACAAACATTTATTTTTGTTGACTTTTTTTGTTTTTCTTGTGTTTTGATATTCAAAAATAGATAAATCGCCACAACAATTTATCTCTGCCGTCTTCGTCGTCGTCGTCGTGTGTTGTTGTTGCTGTTGGTTTGATGATATATTTGTTGTCACTGCAGAAGTAATGAGAACGGCGCCTTCATTGGACGCCCGTTTCAGTTTAAGGTATGTAGATTGGCGTTTTTTCGCGTGTCTTATGCTCGTTACATTCGCTGGCGTCCAAACTATTTTTAACTTCATAAAAATTTCTATTTGCCGTAAATCATTATCTATTTCGATTCAATTTTCTTTACAATTTTCAATTATGTTTTATAGGTTTTTATTTTTTTTTTTTAATTAAAAATTTTCTATTTTAAGATCGCACATCGCACAATTCATATTCCGCTTTCCGAGAGTCATTGCGTTTGTAGTGTATCCGCCTCCGTTCACAGCCGTCGTACTAAAGATGCTCCGTTCGCTAACGTTTATTTACTTAAGCTGGCAGCTTGAATCAATGAATCTTATAGCAAGTGTAGACAATCCCACCCGGCCACGGCTGCCAGACACATCGTGGCTGTGTCTCGTCGATCGTTGCATTATCACAATTATCAGTTTAAAGCTCTCGCTTGTTGTTTACAAATTTTTGAAAACGCCTTCATTTCATTATTCGATAGATAATTCCGTTTCATTGGAAATATACATAGACATATTATGGGTATTTCACACCCTCAGTCTTAGGGCTACAGGGTGTATTCATCATTTAATAAGGTCAATTAAGGTGTCTCATTGAAATAACAGTTTAAGACCTCATGTCTCATAGGACGAGTTAACTCTACTGCAGCCTATGACAAAAAAATTCGTAAGCATGTCCAGGTCTTCGTATAGTCTCCATATAACAGTTTTCATTTAAGTGGTAGTTTTCGGATTTTTTTGAAAATGTTCAAGTTCCTTCCCAATGATGGAGGGTATAAAAAGTTCGCTGCTTTTTACATGTTTTAAACTCCACTCGGAACTGATCAGAAAGGAGGTTCCTTGAAACAAATTATATTTTGTTTTCACTTATCTATTGATTGGTTGTAGAAACAGTCTTTGGAATGCGTAACGGAATTTGGTACATAAACAAATTTACCAAACAAGTAAGCAAAGGCTACAGTCGAGCGGGGCCGACCGTTGAATGCCCTACAACACTATAATAAACGATACAGTTTATATAGGCGAGATACTCGAAAGAATTCCACAAGATATTGTGACGAATTATAAAAGAAACCATCAGGTTTCGTTCTCTAATTTTCGAATAATAGCAACCTTAACTAATTTGCTCATTTCCAATTTATTGGTAGATATTGCACTTAAATGGTCTTCGTAGATCTGGAACCAATATTTCCCAAAGACCTATAATCTCTCAGAAGTGCCAAAAGATTAACATTTATTATTGGTTTTTGGCTGAAACGCAACGAAATCAGCGTTAACGAAATAGTCAGAAGTGCGTCTTTCCTGTATTTGTGAATTCTCCAAAAAGTCACCGGAATGGACATTTTCGTATTTTGTCTACAAAAGTTGGCAAACTATTTCACACATTGAATATTTTTGGGATGGCCATCCAAAACTGCTTGGCTTTTGCAATGTCCGGTAACCCCCATCCAAATGTGCGTGAGGATCGGGCAATAATTACGATCTGTTGACAAAATTTGCAGTTTTTTGGTCCATTTCAACCCCTAAATATATGGCGATCATCTCCAAAAAGAGTAGGCTTCTATTCTGACTCTCATCTTATCCCCATGCAAAATTTCGTAAGGATCGGACCATAAATGCGATCTGTATATGATATCCTGATATCCTAACTACTTAGTTTTGTTAGCTGTAGAAATATTACCAAATGTTTAATTCAAAATGAAAATATGCCAAAAATATGAAAAAATATGAGAAAATGTTACAAAATCAATATTTTCATCTATAGAGAGATATTTTTATGCGATTTTTTAGACATTTTTTCTTTCCTGCCAAGAGGCCATTCTGAATTAATGAGAACTGTCGAAATCAATTCAGCCGTTCTCGACATATAAGAGATCGCACATATTTTGCTATATATCCGATTTGTTGGATGTTAACATCAATGTAAAGATCAGAAGTAGCCTTGTCATGTCTTTGTGATTTAGCTGGGATTTCAAATATTCGCGGTTTAATGAAAAATTTTGAATTTTTTCAACACAAAAGATATGGTATATTTTACCCGCTAAATATTATCCGATGACCACCCAAATTGGTTGGCTTCTTCCCTGCCCTAAACTCTAGATACATGCGAAATTCCGCGTCGATTGGTCTATAATTGCGACCTGTATAGCTACTGCAAAATCCGACATTTTTTCAGTATTTGGTCCATTTCAACCCCTAAACATTTGGCGATCATCTCCAAAAGAAATAGGGTTCTATTCTGACCTCAACCCCACCTACATTCTAAATTTCGTGAAGATCGGGCCATAATTGCAACCTGTAGAGTGATTACAAATTAACATGGACAGACGGACAGACGAACGGACGGACATACATAGCTAGATCGACTCAGCTCGGCGAGCTAGGAAGATCCATATTTCCTATGTGGGAAACCAATATTTCGAGGTGTTACATAATTTTTGGCCCAATCAAACTTATAATACCCCCAACACATAGTGTTGTAGTGTATAATTATATTGAAATCGGTTGAGATTTGGATATAGCTTCCATACATATTTTCGGCTGATTTCATGTATTTGATGTATTAAACACGATATATATGACCGATCCCAATGAAATTTGAAAGAAATTACAGAATTTGGTACAAAAAAATAAATTTGCCAAGTTATATTGAAATCGGCTGAGGTTTGAATACAGCTCCCATATATATTTTCAGCCGATTTCATGTATTTGATATACCAAACACCCTATATATCTTCAATTTCAATGAAATCTGGAATGTGTGACCGAATTTGGTCTATAAATGAATTTCTAAAATTATATTGAAATCGGTTCAGATTTGGATATAGTTCCTATATACGTTTTTCGGCTGATTTCGTGTAGTGATGTACCAAACACACTATGTATGTTAAATTTCAATAAAACTTAGAATGTCTAACGGAATTTGGTATGAAAATAAATTTTGCCAATTGATATTGAAATCAGGTTCAGATTCGGATATTATTTTATTAAAAAACCCCACCACGCCTTTGCTTTGGTACTAGGCCAAAAACAAGTTAAATAGTGTCAGTCGGAATCACTGACTTGTTTCGCAAGTTATGACATATAAAAATATTGAAAATTGTGACCCTTTTGTGGGTGAGTAGGGGTTTGCAGATATATATCATCTTCACAATATGAATTGTGTTAGGAAAAATGTTTTATGAGGTTCATGGATATTCAAAATTTTAATCTTTTTTGGGGAAGGTACCAGAAGTGGACCGATATATGCCATCTTCATAGCATATCTTGTGTTAATAGAAATAATGGGATGAGTGAAATATGAAGACAAACGGACTCTTACATCACATTTTATAAAAGTTAGAATTATTCAAAATGTTGACACTTTGTGAGGGAGGTACTTGATGGAGTGGACTGATATTGCCAATCCTTTACACATTCTTAGTTTCATTATACCCCCAGCCATATGGCTAGAGAGGGTATATATCAAAAACGACCAAAACGTGCCTCATCGAAATAACGGGTTTAGACCCTAAGTTTCTTTTGACCAAATTCGTTTCAGGACATTTAGAATCGAGTTAGCGACGTCCGTCCGTTCATCCGTCTGGCTGGCTGGTGCCCACGATAACTCTCGAAGGAAGTATCCGATTTGATCCAAACTTGGTACATCATAATATTATTATCAAACTTAGATCGAGTTCGGAGATGGGCAATATCGGCCCACTTCTTCTGGTACCGCCCCCAGAAAATGTCAACA